GATAACCTTTCAACATCTCTGACCAAGACAGGAAGCACAAAGAGAATCAGGACTCCTGAGCTATTCATGTTGCTCATTACATTTAAAAAATAAAGAAGTTCTTGAACTTTGGAATGGGTCACTTTGCTGAAATGGCCCTGGCCTGGATTTCACAATGAAGTGGGACAATCCTGCACTCAAAAATCTCCCACATCATAACAGTTCTTCACTGAATGATCTCTTACATCTTAAGACAAATTCAAAAGGGCTCCTAGCAAGTGCCACTCAGGAGGGCACAGCGTTCAATTAACCACTGTTAACAAATGTTAAATAAAACAACAGCTACTAATTCTTCTGAACAAACCTCTAGACAGCTAAAATTAGTAACAGAATTTTTTTCTTTTTTATCCTGTTGATGGATATACAATTTTTGTGGCTTTATGAGAACAAAACCAAAGTTGAGGATGAAGAAAACACAAGGAAAGCACTTTTATGACAGAAACGAAAATCAGTTAAATTGAAGTAGTGAATAGTGAAGAGGAGATAGGTGTACAAGGTAGCAGTGCTATGTGGGAGTCCACCTGAGAAATCTCAGGCCTTCCCATCACTAAACTTCAGTTAGATTCAACTGAACTGCGTGGAAATAGATTTAACTCAAGCAAAGGTTCAATATATATTCAAATACTCCGTTCAAACAACTTAGAAAAATAATTTAGAAAAATTAATGGCTGTAAGAAGCTCATCTAAACAACCATTTACAGCACAGCGTTCATTCTTAGTAATGATCACCAAGAAAGAAGACAAATGCAAAGAGACTTAAGGCTTTTTTCTATCTTTGATGTCAATCTTTCGCATTAACTTTAGAAAGACATTATATTTTTACAGTCCTCTTTTTCAAACTCATTGGGTTTGTTCAGATTAGGAGAAAAAAATATTTTACTTTGCAACTAGAAGAGTATGTGACTTGCTATTAACTCCTGATACCTGAGCCTACACAGCTTTGATCTGTCTCACTTGGACACTGTAAAGCTTTTTGGTTAATACATACATTAATGCATGAAGCAATAAATTGGGGAAGGAGCAGATTAAACAATAATTCTTTTTGATAACATATATATATATACATATATATATACAGTCTGTATACTTCCCACTTTTTTGCTAGCTCTTGTTTTTGTGCCTCTTGCCCCATGCCTTCAAACTCCTCCAAGTCATGCTGAGAGCCAGCACATCTGCTTTGAATCTCAGACTTCCATTCCTGTGGTGGCTTAGAATAACTCCCCAGCCAATATTCCTCTAAAGGATTTAGGTGTGTCATACTACCAGAACAGAACGCTCCAAAAAACTACAAACAATTGACGTGCATTACAAAAAAGCAACAACCTGATGTGGCTGAACCTTTCTTTTTATTGTGAGGCCTGTTTCCCATGAACAGCTGTTATGTGTAAATAGCTGCTGGGCTATCAATCTTTTACCTTTCCTACTGTGTTAGTGCCATAGCAGTGGATAAAAAATGTTGAAGGGAAATGACATTTCAAAGAAACACAATTATGTAATTCAATCATATTTGTTTGACCATTTCCCACAGGTAAATTTTCTTGATTTAAGTAACTGTCAACAATCTATAGTGATTTGTCTGAATGTTACAGTGACTCTGTTTTGATCTTTTGCTAAAATGTATCTATTCATCAACAAAAAGATGCTGCTAAATAAAACCACACAAACTTATGCTCAGTTGACTGAATTTTTAACAGAGCAAATCAGTGAATATTCCTGTCAGATAAACTTGCTGTGATCTTTCTTAGCATTATTCAGAAAACTCTTTGTGTACAAATCTTGCAGTGGCAGTTTACCACAGATGCAATATACCTAATCCCAGGATTAATTTTGTATACCCATCAGTAGTGAAGCAAGATGGATTTAATAGCCCATTAGTCTTTCAGCATGATAATTTCCACATCACTTAGCCTGCTGGGTTAATTGCTTTAAAATGGATATTATTGACCTCAATCCCAGTGACAAACAGGATGTCTTATTCATCTCCCAGATGTACATTCTTAGACACTTGTTTCTTTTGGTCCTGACAATAAGCGCCCTAGATTATACACTCATAAATTATAATTTATACCCTATTAGCCCATATTTAAGGGATTACTGAAGCAGTGTCTTTCAGAAATCATTAGGCTAACTTTTAAGTTTGGGTGCTGTCTTTTTTTTTTTTTTTTTTTTTTTTTTTTTTCCCCCTTTAATATAAACAGAAACGGTTTGAGTATAAGAAGCCGTTGTTTCACCTTTTGTTAATAAATTAATGTTGACGCTGAATGCTGCAGCAGGTGCAGCAGGGATTAAGGACTTTCAGAAAACAGCTGGTCAGTATATTTCAAACCACAAAAGCAAAAGTACAATCATTAGGAGGAGAGAATGAAGAACAAATTTGAACAGAGAATTAGGAATGAAAATTAAGGTTCTAGGACTAAGAAGCAGAAAAATATGTCAGGTAACAGAAAATCGAATAGTAAAGCTGAACAGTAAATTACTTTTTTATTATTATTTGTGTGTATTATTTCTGCTCTTAGTAATTGAGAGAAAAAATACAATCCTTCTGCTTTGAGGAAAGTAGCCCTAGCTGTGACCAGTCAAACATAGCAAGGGAAGAAAAGCACAAGTTACTTATTGCTTCTGGGGAAATGGAACAGGTGGAAAGCTGATGTAGCTAGTTTCCTGGTCTAACTTCGCTTTATAAGACATACATTAGAGAGACTCAATACTTTTTAAAAAGTGATTTCTAACGAAACTCAATGTTTAAAATGTCATTTAGCTACTAACATAAGGCCATCTTGGTGCTGGTCACAAATAACATCTTAACAGTTTCTTCTTGAAACAAATTAGAGCTTGCTCTTGTCTCTAGTATGATACAAAACTCATAAGACGCTTCTTATTTAACTTTGTGATTGACTTAAATAGTAGTGGCATGTTTCCTGTGAGTTCCATTCTACACGTCAGTGGAAATGAAAGCATCAGTGACAATGGTATCATTTTTATTACCAACTGTTCCTATATGATATTCATGACACAAGCAAGCAGAGCTAGACATTTTCACCTCAGTTACAAAGCACCTCTGACTCTATCAGTGGTTTATGGGCTGGCTCTCACTGAAATGAAACTGAACTTGTATGCAGCAGCTTCCTGCTACCGCAGATCTTTTAGCCAATCACTGCCCTCTTTCCAAAGTACTTTCCAAGAAAAAGACCTTGATTTCTGACCTTTAAACTTTTTATTTTTCTTCTGAATTTAGGTCATTTGCTTTAGGCCACTGAAGCCACTGAAAAAATGTCCAGTGTTTCAAAGCATGCTTCAATGGAGGCAACAAAATGAAAACTTCTGAATAACAAGAATATCAGCATTTCAGAGAGAGGGTTGAAATTAGACAAGTGAGAATTTGGTCCTTCCAAGACTGGATATATTCCATATTTACTTCTAAGAATGCCATTTATACACTTGTGTCTATATAGTGATTTTTTAGTTTGTTTTTCGCTATAAGAGGCTCCTGCCATCTGCATTAGGAATATTTCAGATCAGTGCATTACACCCTGGATATAAGAGCTTTAGACTGGTTGATCAGGTCATGTAAACGAGCAATTCCTGAGGTACCGGAGGAATGCCAAACTACTGATACTGAACACCTGGATTATTATTATTATTATTTTAACTAAAACACAACAAACCAAGCCTAACCAACCAACCAGCCAAACAAAACTATGAGGAAAAGTCAAAGTATGAGGAAAATAGAGCAAATCAGATCTTGCTCAGTGATAACAAATACCGATGTCAGATGTCCAAGATCTGACCATAAATACACAGCACAGGGAACCATTAAAGCTTACAGTATTCTAATCATGCATAGCGTTGCTCGGTGTTTCTGCCAACTGAGTTACAAAACAATAAATTAGATCGATAGTTGTTTTTTTCTTTGAAAGTATTTTGCACTGAAGACATTCCTTCAGATAGATAACAACTTTGTAGCTTAGTGGCAGCTCTGAGCTCTGAGCTTAGGCCAGAGCCAAGGGTTTCTCAAGAGTGGGAGCAGTTACATGTGACTATTAGCTGTTCCTTCCCTTTCACGGGGAAAGCATCCAGTTGGAAAGAGAAATTCGCAAGGGGAAACTGTGTATGCCTGATGCCAGCAACAAAGAAGTCACAGATAGATTACAATGTTCTTCCTACAATTGCCTGGTGAAAATCTCAGGCTGGATGTTGAGAAAAAAATTCTTGTTAGAAGAAGGGGAGAGGCAATGGTCACCATCCCTGCAGGTGTTGAAGGACTGTGGCGATGTGGCACTGAGGGACGTGGTCAGCATGCCCGTAACGGTCGCGCCTTACTACAGAGTGGGCGAGGGGGGAGAGGGCGGTGCAGAGCGCCGGAGCCAAACCCTTCGTTTTATTGAGGTTTTCCTACCGGGGTTCTCCACAGAACCGCCCCCTCCCCTCTCCCGCCACGAAGCCCTGCTGGGTCACGCCGGGTAACGCAGTCCCGCCAGCGGTGCCAATCCACCCCCCCGGTCGGGGTCAGAGGCGGGATGGAGTGCGTCCTCCCAGCCGACAGGGGGCGCTGCGGCCGTCGAGTACGCTCGGCCCCGCCGCTCCGTCGCCGCCATCTCCTTGCCTGATCTCATAAAGGTGTCGCGCAGGTTCCGCCTGGATTCGTCGTCATTCAGCCGCCCCGGGCCCGGCGCCGCCGCCGGCCTCTTCCGCGCCGCTGCCCTCGGCCAGGCGCCGCCCGGCCCCTCCTTTCTCCACCCCCTCTCCCCCCCTCCTTCCTCCTTCTCTCGCGGTGCCGCCAGCCGGCGTGAGTGACCGCCGCGCTCCCGCCCCGGTTCAGCGGCGGGCGCCGGTTGCCCTCCCCGCCCCTTCCTCCTCTTCCTTCCCCCGCCCCCCACCCCTCCCCGCTCCGGGCTCCTCTCCCGCCGGCCGGCCGGGCCCCGGAGCGCCGCCGCCGTTGGGGTGTGAGCGGGGCCCGGCGCCGTGCCGGGCCGTCCCCTCGCCGGCGGGGCCATGGCCGCGAGCGCCAAGCGGAAGCAGGAGGAGAAGCACCTGAAGCTGCTGCGGGAGATGAGCAGCCTCCCGCCCAACCGCAAGTGCTTCGACTGCGACCAGCGCGGCCCCACCTACACCGACATGACGGTGGGCAGCTTCGTGTGCACCTCCTGCTCCGGCATCCTGTGAGTGCGGGGGGCTTTCTGGGCGGTCCCTCGGCCGGCGCCGGCCCGGCCGTCGCGGGCTGACCTCCGGCCCGGCTCGGCCTGGCCGCGGCTCCGGGGCGGCGGTGACGCGGGCCGAGTGCTCGGCGCGACGTCTCTCCCGGGGCGGCCCTTCGTGCGCCGGGCCGCGTCGGACGGCAGCCGGCGCGGGGCTGCCCGGGGGAGGCGGCCGGGAGGCTCTCTGGGAGCCGCTTGCTGAAAGTCCGCCCCGCGGGCAGCGGCTCGGTGGTTCGTGGCGGCTGCGCGTGGCCTTGGCTTTATCCCTGCTGGCGAGGAGGTGTTCTCCTGCGTGCAGGGAGCGTAAGCGTTTTGCTCCGGTATTGGGGGCGGGGGAGCAGCGGCAGAACGAAGCCCTGAGCGCGCCTGAAGATGTAGGGAAGTGCTGGGAGAACGCTTCTGGGACCAGAGGAGACGCGTGGCCCAGCGGCTCGCTTTCGTGACGCGAGAGATGTGGGCAGACGATCCTGTTGTGAACGTGTGTTTTTGGCGTTGAAAAATCGTGCTTCAGTGTTAGGTCACCAGTTTGGCCTTTCGCAGATGCTTGCCGTTAGTTTAAGACGACTCTATGCTGTAGCTTGGAGGATAATCTCCAGCCTTAGCAGGTTTAATAGGATTGATGAGAAAAAGTTGACTTTTCTTTTAATCTTTCATTACTTTGTGTGAACTTTATATGTAATTCTGACGAAGGAATTGGTTCTGATGAAGGAGATGATTGCATTTTTTCCTGTTCCTCATTCCTGCATGGTCCTCCTCCTCCCTTTCCCACCCTTCCTCCTCCTTGGAGTGTGTATGAAATTAAACTGGCGGAGATCAGTCAGTTCTGAATTTCAGTTTGTGTCATCAGGATGTCAGTCACATACACATAAGTTGGAGAAAAAGCCTACTGACTTCAATGTTATTGTTTGCTTAGTTAAGTCTCTTTGCTTGTTTGTGTTTCTGTGGCATTGAGCAGGATCAAAGAATTGGCCTATGTGGTATGTCAGAGGATACCTATTTTTGTTTGTAAGGTTTTGAGTTTGTGAAACATATGTAGGAACCTGAATGAAATCCTGTCCTTGACTAAGAAGGACTGAGTACCCCTTGTAGGTCCTTCAAGCACTCTGTGTTCTAGAACAAAGTTGCTAATTACAATAAGACTCAAAACAAAGCAAACGTGTTAAGTTCTGTGCTGGATTCACATGGAACAAACTGCGTTTTATACCACACAGCTAGTTAGGCTTTTTTCCCCCCTGCTTTGTGTAGACTTTTTGCATATAGAAAATACATTCAGGTTGGGAAGCTGAAGAGAGTCTCTTGCTTTTGACTTACACATGGCACTTAATCAGCCAGCCCTGGCTATTGTTTGCTATGCTAGCAAACTGTTATTTGTGCTGGCATGTGAAACTATTTTAAGCTACTGCACAGAGCTTATTTAATGGTTGCACATGTTCTTACTGGTTAAACTGTCAGCACGACAAAAGTGCTCAATGAGAATATTCTTTATTTTCCAGGCTTCTTAGTTTTAAGAAACGTATCACAAGTGCTGCTGAGATATTTTGTGTGGCTTTGGGAGGATTTGTTCATTCTATCTATTGGTTGTGATGTGTGGTCCACTAATGTCCATAGTCCAATTTACAGTAACATGAAGGATATGCAATGAAACAGCAAGCGAGCAAGGGACAGCTGTCACTTGCTGTTAAATTAGCTATCACTTGGTTGCTACTGTGCTTGAAGAAAGTAAGGCTTTTTCTGAAAGATGCTTATCAATTGGCATTTTATTAGAATATTATTATTCCAAATGTACAGTGTTTCTGTTAAAGAATGATTTTAGTTCTTATAGCTAGTAACATTGATGCTTAAAGAGAGTACAAATGACTGTTAAGAGGACTTTTTCTACTGAAATAAAATTGTGTTCCTTTCATATTGACGTGGAAACACTTTCATGAATTGCGTATGCAGATCATACATCCTTTCTGTTAACACCTTACAACGAGGCAGTGGGATATTTTTCTTGGTAATGAGACAGCATGGAGATAGAGAAGTCCTGCCTCACCACTAGAAACTGGTTTTTTTTGTTTGTTTGTTCTTAAACATTTCTGTTGGAACAGACCTTCAGACAACTTGTTTATTTCCAAATGTTTTTCAATGGAGAGTTCCACAGTGCAGAGGAATGACTTGGGAAGAAACCACGTAATGGCAAATGAGCGTAAAAGTCTTGCTGCTTCTGTAGTTCTTAATGGCTGCTTGCGTTCTGCCTCATAGTACTTGCTTTACTGTAAGGCTGTAATGTTATTATTACTTGGTCTTGCCTATATGCTATGTGAATGACTTTCATTGCTTCCTGTTTTAATTAACTTTTTTTTCCAGTCTGTTACAGGAAGTATTCTTGGAGTAAGTAGACTGTTTTTTTTCAAGGGCAAAATGCCCAGTGCAAGATTAAAAGACTGATAGTTAACGAGTCTCCTTCAGAAAGGTTACTCAGTTAATTCTAATGTGTGGTTGCTAACATCAGTATCAACTTCAACAGGTGTGTTGTTCTAGATACAGTTCTAAACTTCAGAAGTCTGATATCTGAATAGGGTTTTTTGGAAGTTTTCTGAGGTGTTTATTCAGTCTGTTCAAACCCAAAGCCTTCGTGTGGGATTTGTCATTAATTTCTAGTGGTTTATACTAATGCTTCTGTGTACAGAAAGATATCAACGCTATTTGTTACCAGACCTAGTTTTAAGAAAGCCATGACTGTAAAGTGCTTCCAAGAGAGTCTGATTAGCTTGTTCGAGTGCTGCTGAACATGGCAAAGAACTAATGAGTTTAAGAAGGTCTGCTTCTGACTTAAATGTTGAAGGTGAATCACAGCAAGTTAGTTGCTCATAATATAGTGGGGGTCTTTTTCCATAATATGCAGGACTTAAGTTTTCCCAGCAGATTGAGTTTACCAGAGTAAAGTCCGAGCTGTACGAAATGGAGGATGCAGGAGAAAGTTCATGCGCAGTAATTTGGGTAGTGGCTTGGGATAGTGTTGAAATACCTCTGCTTGTCCCCTTGTTTAATCGCTCTTTCTATGGAAGGAAAGCTGCATAGAATCATGGAAGCTGTGCCCAATCCTGCTTTTTGGTGTTGGAAAAGAATGCAAGATGTGTAGAAATATACACATCACATCACTGTGTTTGGTAGTGATGTCTAGTGTTTTTGGACGCCATAGTGTATTCTGCTGATAGTGACATCCTCTCTTTGTCTTGATCATGTGCTGTTTTGACTTGTTTCTCAGCTGTCTCTTGTCTGTCTTTGCTTTCAAGCAGCTCTCCTGCTCAGCTTTCTCCTAGTTATCAAAAATTAAGGTGTTTGTAAATTCTTGAATAAAAGATTACCTGTTTGACTATGAGTCCACTTCCAGTTCTGTACTCTTGATGTACCCTTGCCTGGTGGATAGCTTTTCTAAAAATCTGCTGATGATCATCTGGACTCCTCTTCTACCCTTCCCCTCCCTGGCACCACTCTTTCTCCCCCCTCCAACCTCCTGGGGAACTTTCTTATTCAGATGCTGGAACTCCTGGCTTGCAGGAAGGAGCGAGTAAGAATATTTAGAACATATTGTTACTGTGGGGAATGAAAAAGCTGTTTTATCCAATTTCTTACAGTTATTGGATGATGTGGCCTTCTGTTGGCTGGTTATAATATCCCTATTTGAAATGTTAAAACTTTCTGGCTGAGGGACTTCTGTATCAGCCAGATTGGAGTGTTTAATGGCTGATACCAGTAACAGACTAAACAATAAATCTTTGTGTAATGGCTGTGGCTTGCTGTCCCTTTCTCCAGAAGAATTCTGCAGAAATTAAAATGTCTAAATGAGCAGTGCTAGAGTGAAGGTGATTCTGACTGTTGGCGTAGCTTCCCAGTTCCTTTTTTTCCTTATCATCATTGGAAAATGGCTCTGTGCTATGTATCTATACATTCATTCTTTTTTCTATGTGCTGGCTGGAAAGCTAGATAAATGTCTGTGCCATGGTAAATACTGTGCAGCTCAGGAAGGATTTTTTTTTAGTCCAAGAAAAAGGCTAAATTAACCTTGATTGTGTATGTAAGTCTTTTGCTGTTAAAAATAAAGTGAACTTGTGAGATGGTGGAAGGTCTCCAGGGAAGTCTTCAAGTACCCAGAATGGTCAATACTGCTTATATTCACTTATTGCTAATAACAATAGTGTAGAAATAACAGTGAGTATGGTGACACTAGGCTTCCAAAACTCATTTTCAGGCACATAGGAATGTAGGGTACTGTGCAAGGGCCTCGCATTTGCTTTGCCTCAGTAACTTCCCTCTTCTTTGGGGATCAGATTTTGCTGGCTTAGACCTGAGATCATGTTAGAATCTGACGTAGGGTGACATTAATGGTGTTGAATAACCATCTGCCCACCATTCCTCCCATGGAAGTGCCCCTCTATCCCAACCAACAAAGCCCACTTCTAAGCATTTATAAATAGAAACTTGTGTTCCAGCCCTGTCTGGTATTCTCTGAAATGTTGCTGTCATTTGTTGGAGAAGAGCACAGAAACGGCTGCTCTCCCAGCAATCACAAGTTCAACCTAAACTTGCTCTAAATTGTATTAGTATCAAACCTTTGGTGCTCATTGATGGTGTCTTAAATGTTGAATGTTTAAATCCCCAGACTTTGTGGTCTTGTGCTGCTGGCCTTAAAGCTTCCCTTGTTAGAGCACAAGTTCTACCAGTACTTGCTGGAGAACAACCTTGCTCTGTTTGCCGTAGTATCCAGCTGATGAACTATCACTGACAGCATGGACCAAGTCAGTGCAGGACAGTCTCAGAACTGGAGGTTCTGGTTGCAGTGCTGTTCTGCAGGAATAATCATTTCTGAGTATGAAGCTTGTATTCATGAGCAGGATGGAAGTGTGGGATGCTGTAGCTGTGGCATGCTGGCTGCATGCAGCCTGGCAGAATGGTCATCTGACTCAGTCATCCTTCCCGAGTGCCTCTGAGGAGATGGCTGCGATCTGGATTAAGCGCTGTAGTGTCATCCTGAGGAGCTTTGCAGCACAGAAAGGAGTAACTGGTACTGCTGCACCTGTATGGGTTACAAATATATGTTTGGGGTCAATTTGAGTTTAGGCATTATTATTCTGACTAAAGGATTATAATTCATTTGTCTCCTTAAATAGGAATTAAATAGGAATACTGTGATGCATTAGAACTGTGCAAAGTGCTCACCTAATATATAAAAGAAACAAAGCAAGTATTAGGTAAATTCTTGTTTTCTATGCTTGGATAAAAAATGCCTTTAATTCCTCTTAAGGGATAACTGTACTTGGCTGTCTACCATTAAGCTTCTCCTGGAGGTATCTGAATTGCTTGTGAATCACCTGTAATTCCTGTAAGCAAGGAAGGGTAATATAGCTTAGGACTTGCGAGCCAGAGCTTTAGTACTTAGTTTTCTGTTTTGACTTCTCCTTTCTAAATCCAGTTACTGGACTGTTCCAGGGAGATTCTAGTTGGTTCATGGATATAGCATGTTTGAAAGTAACTCTTACTAGTAGTAGTAAATCATATTAAAAATGTTTTTAAGATGTTTTGATTGTAAAAATCTAAGTGATTTTATCAAGAAACTGTGCACGTGTTTTGGGTTGTATTTCCATGCTGTGCAATACAGCCCCTTGAACTCTTTGGTCTAGGCTGATTTCTTTTGTGCTTCCAATATGCGAGAAGGTTTTCTTAGGCTTTCTCCCACCCCGGCCATCTTAAATGAACTTAAGAGTTACTCATATGTATGATAATGCAGCTTGATCAATAACTTTGTATTTCTGACCATTAAGGTTCAGAATGTCACGTTTTATTAGATCAGTGATTCAGTGGTGTGCTCTTCCATCATGCAAGACATCAGATGCTTCTGTGCTAGGCTCTGACCTGTAGGGATGGGGCGTATTTCCCTCCTTAACAGAAGGATATAGAAGAGATGAGTTGTCTTCTTGTACATTGCAGCCATAACTTGTAAATCCGGGCATCTGGAGCTTTATAACACAAACTTTAAAACAGGAGAGCAGTCTGCACTGGAGAGAGGTGGTGAGGTGTGTAGGAAGCCTCTAGTCAGGCTGAACACCATCTAGTACACAGTGCTTTAAATGTGCTTAGTGTGGTGCTTAACAGAACTGATGGCGCACTTATGCTCTCCTAAAAGCTGTGAGAGCCCTAATAAATCAGTGTAGAGCAGGTACATGTGTTTTCCTACTTAAATATCTCGTGCCTTCTTGCTGTGATACTGAACTGTGGAGTCTAATTTTAGATGTTCAGGTTTGAAAAAAATTTGCTTTAGGCAAATAACGTTCTGTGAAACTAATTTTCACAGGCCAGTAGGTTCATGTGTGACTTCTGTTTTTCCAGTACTTGTAAGTTCATGTATGTCTTGGCAAGGTACAATGAACTGTTTTGTTTACCCAAGTGTTTTGAACAGTGAGCGTCTTAAATCTACAGTTTTTGAAGTAATGGTTAAGCTATACATCGTGCTTAGCCTTCCTAGCAGTATCCAACTTTTCATGTGGAAATCAACTCTATTCTTTTTTTTTTTAAACACAAGAATCAGCATTGACATTTTATAGTGGATGTAGACAGCAAGGTGAATTTGCATGAAAACTTTACAGTAGGTTTTTTTGTTAGGCTTTTCAGTACTGAAAAAAAATTACTTTTTAAACTTATCTACAAAGATTAACTTTTTATTAATCAAGTGGGCAAACTAGGTCTAAACAGTGACATCATAATTAACATTCCTGGAGTAATCAGAGTTTAAACAAAACTGCTGCTCAGCTTAAATTAGTTGTCAGTGGTTTGTATTCCTAAAGGCAATCTGAACCAAACTGCCAATTAATGAATATTAAATTAAAATTTAATATTAATTAAATTAATAAATAAATAACAAATATAAGCAACAAAGCTGTGTCAGTTGATTTGTTAGCCATTTGCTGGCTAACTGTATCTACCTGTTTTACATTCCTGTAGAGCATTCCTCATCTTCTCTGGAGACAGCCTTCTTGCATGCATAGAGAGTGCAATATTTTGTGGTTATCTCGTAATTAACTTAGTGTACGTTCTTTTTAAGACAGTATCAAAAAAAAAAAATCTAGACGTGATTAAGGTAACACGGCTGTACTACCTGTTGGTGCCCCCACTGCTTGGTATATGTGGGCTGTAATGTTCTTCCTTTCATTGAACAAAACACAGTTTGATTTTAATTGCGAGTATTTGTGGGCAAAAAGCAGTACTTAGCATGTACTTAAGGAAAAAGCTTGAAGGGAAAGCATTTTCTTATACTTGCTGTGTTACTCAGCAGGATTTTTCTATGCTTGCATGTTTTGACTGAACTGGTTTTGACAGTATCAAGCTTTGGCAACAAAATTGACTTTTGGTTTCTTTTAGTCCTGCTTTGAGCCGTGTATGGATGTGAGAATGTGCCCATCTTTGTCTGAGGCAGAGCTGCTGCAGCTTTGAGCTATTCCACTATTTTGAGAGCACAATGGGAAACTTGACTTTCTTCTGTTGGTGTTACTTGTGGTGTTCAGAAGGAAGATGACAGACCTGTGGACAGAGGGGCAAAAAATAATCTAGAAAAAGGTTCTGGGAGGTTAGAGCAAGAGGAAAAAAAATCTGAGCTGGGAAATGTAGCAGGCAGAAATCTACTCCAGTTAGAGCGGGGTCAAGTGAAGGAGGATTGGGAGGGCAAGAAAATGGTGATGGAGGGACCCAAGATTAAGAGATGTAAAGGAAAAGATGAACAAGTTTGTGGAAACAGATAAAGGTTTCACAAGAGGTATAATTGTCCTCATAAGTTTGCATGTGCAACTTTGATCTCTAAAATTCAGTTATTTGACTTTGCACTCTGAATGCAGTTTTGAGATGAGTTGGCTTCAGTTTGTAATGTTAAAAGTGATTGTGTGATGACGAATTTCCTGAATACTGACAAAATGCTTCTTCATTCTTTTTTTAGACGGGGCTTGAATCCACCCCACAGAGTGAAGTCAATTTCAATGACAACTTTCACACAACAGGAAATAGAATTTCTGCAGAAACATGGAAATGAAGTAAGTATTAATTACAGAATACCAAGTGATAAGCATTTCTAATATTCAACTTTGAAATAGTAGTTAAACAAAACCTGAGGTTTTTTTAAGTAACAAGTACTCAGGAGTCTTGAAGCTAAGCTCATTTGAAGTGATACTCCTAAGGAGCTAGTTTCACTTCAGTAGCTGATGATCAGAATGTTGTGCTATTACCTAGCCTGACCAGCCTAGGTTCACATGGTCAGATCTTAAGAGACAGGTTTTCCTCCTTTTCCTTGAGGTTAGGCACTATGCATTTATTTAAACTCTGCATGCCCAGACCTTTAGGCTGACTGCAGCAGCATCTCCTGAAAGAATCAACCATGGCAAACATGAATTAATTACTCATAGATGTATTTCTGTGGGGTAGGTGCTAGGAAGCCTTACAATAGTTTCAATAGCCTTTTTCTTCAATAAAAATATAGTGGTATTTTGAAGGTCCTTGAAGGGAGGAAGGAAAAGGAGACATTATTTCCTCTAAGGATTAGATGATCTTGTATGTTTAGAGGGACTTGTGTCAGCTTTGAAGAAATGAAGTTCTAGTGTGCTGTCTTTATTTTACTTTTTTTAATAAATGAAAATGAAATCTGGTATAGATTGGATTGCATCTTATGGGGCCCTCTGTAGAATGTAAACCCTGGATTCCATTGTTGCTGTCCTCAATTTGTGGATGAGGTTTGCATTTCAATACTGTGCTGTAGCATTAAGAAGTTGGAGGCGACTTCTACTCCAAATATGGAAAGATTCTGTTTCACTTTGATAGGATCCGTATTCTGTTTCAGAAGAGTTATTGATTGTAGTCAGTGGAATATTGTACTAACGTGTTCTTGTAAAGCTCATCATTAGTTAAAATGCTGACACTCAACTTTTGTAAACTTAGCCTCGTTCATAACTGTCAGCTTTAAGAATGAAAATACAAGTAGCAATTTCTTTTCCTGTCCTAAGAAATAAGTGTTACTTGTTGAAATGACTTAGTTGTTAGTTGTTCAGTGGGTGATTGCTCTAGACAAAGCTGGAATGGGGTCTAAACTGCCTGACAGTACAACGTTTTCTCAATATCTTTGAGTAGCTTTTTGAAATTGCTGTGGTTTGTTAAAGCTGTTTAACAATGTAAATATTACAGCATGTTGTTGACTTTTTGCATAAGGAGAGCAATAAAGAACCTTTTGTGGGTCTAGGTAAAGTATATATGAGTCTCTTTCCATAAGATTCGATTGTAAAGCAATGTTAGAGTTTACATTTTCCAAGTATAAAGGAAAACATGTGAGCATATATGTATGTGTATGCACAGGTCTAAAGTATGCATCCATGTATGTATTTGTATGTGTGTATATAGTTGAGGACTGCTCCAAAAGTAATGCTGCCTGTCTTATTGTATTGGCCCACGATATCAGAGGTGGATGTTGGTGGTATGGCAGCAGAGGCTGAATCTTCCTGCCAATATTTCATTACATTTTGTTGCCATGTGGCAGATGGCAGCAGAGGGATGTCCGACAGAATGGTGTTGGACAATAGAAGTGTGTATGAAACAAAGGTGCAGAACTGAACTGCTCCGTGAGGAGGAAATGGTACCCACTGGCATTCATCAGCACTTGCTGAATGAGACCCAACAGTGGATGTGAGCACAGTGAGGTGGTGGGTGGTGTGTTTCAGCAGCGATGACAGCAGCAGTGGGGTACCTTTGCTAGTGCAGACTTCTATGAGTGTGATGTGTGGTCTCTTGTTTCTTACTGGTGAAAGTGCGTGGCTCCTGGTGGTGACTGTGCTGAAAAACAGTGTTTTGTAGCTGAGCATTTGCTCTATCAAACAGATATTGTGTAGTTTGTATCTGTTATAGGTTCCATGGAAATAAATAGGAGGCATTACTTTCAGAGCAGCTTATAACACACCTGTATTTGTTTTTATTTCAGTTTTTTTTCAAATCTGCTATGGCTAGAGAATGTGATGACTTTTTTCACTGATTTGAAACCAGAAGTTGTCCTAACACGGTTGATCAGCATAGTTCCTCCTTCTCATTATGGAACTGACTACCCTGCAATTATGATTTATTTTATTCATAATTTACTGTCAACGTAAATACACTTGAGATATCTGCAGTGACATACTGTTTCAAGAAGCGCATGTCTTTGTAGTATTCATTTCTGTCATTAACAAAACATTGTAATGATTTAACTGAGCTACCTCAGTAACTAAGATGTGCCTCTGTCGTCAAGATTGCTTGCTGAAGTGTTACTGCTTTAAGCACCATTAGAAGTTTAAAGCCTAATTAAGCATGCTTTCAGTTCCTCATGCTGTATGTTGCAGCAGTAGTTAAGTAGTAACTTTCTTGTATTAGTATTGACCTTAGGTAGTATTAGGTAGATGAAATTCATCTCACTTGACAAAAAACCCTCTTTTTGGTCTAGTTTGTTCATATACATAGACATCTGTGCTGATGCTAAGGAATTAAACTTTTTGATCTGAACTTCTTCAGACATGAAACTGTCCAGAGTTTTAGAGATCAGTAAGAAACAAAGTACAGTCACTAAATGTTTTGGATGTTGGCAGTGCTGAGCTTTTTAGTTCTGCAACTGGAAGAAAAATAAAGTTTTTATTCCAAGTTAGTGTTTTTAATGTCTGTCTTTCTATGGTGTGTAAAATACTTTTATATAGCCAGGGCCTCTGTAGTAAACTTTTCTATTTCTGGATTAATAGATCATGGTGTAGCACAGGGAATTTGTTCTCTGTTGAAAGAAAAATAGCAAGAATCACATTAAACAAACCTTCACTGAGATAAAGTCATTATTAAGGTGGTGAGTTGTTTTTGGAGGAAGTAGTTTTCCACTGTCCTTCAGGGAGTTGTTTATAAAGTCAGTGAGTCAATGTATTGTGTGAGGTTGATGTTCCCTTAAAAACAAAGGGTAAAGTTTTCTTAGTTCCTGAAATAGTAACTTTCCCCAGTTGTCACAAATTGCTGTCTTCTGTGACACACGTGGTTAAAGCTGTGCTTACTAGAAAGCTTCTCTAAAGAGACTGCATTTAGAAGAGACTATTCAGAGCAGCTTCTCTTAAAACATGAGATACTACTTCCTTCCCTGTAGATTCATTGAGAATCTTCCTAGTGAAGTTAACTTTTGGCTGAGTTTTTACTACTTTGGGTTCAAAGCCAAACCTTGCTGTACTTGGAGAGATGTGTATTTTGGTGGTGCTTATTCATCTGTAGGTAGACACCCAGACTCTGGTTTTACTAACGTTGTAGCGCACTCACTTGTATGGCAAGAATGGAGGTGTCTTCAAGCTGATATTCCTCGTGTGCCTTTTGAAGTCGTTTTGAAGGACGAAGACAATTCTGTTTGTCTGCGTAGGATTTTTTCTCCTTTTCATGAAGAGCAGTATAGAAGGTATTTTAATACCTCATGGTGGGTTTGCTAAGGAGTGTGTGGTGTGGAGACTCACTTTGTTACAAAGCATTCAAGGAGAGCTGATGCTTATTAGACCTCTGATTCAGTAAAGCAGTGTTAGTGGGAAGTGAACTTGCTGCTTGTGGTATACAGCCGTGGTACTCATCTCATTAACGTTGCAGTTGTGAATATCTGTACAGCAGCTTCCTACCACATGTGAAAAATAGTAATAGGAGGCAAAGTGTTACAGTGATATAATGATATCACTATATGTGATAGTTAATTTTTCTGTTTTTGACGTCTGCCAGATACTTTAATTTTTCTCAATAGCTTATTCTAACCTAGTAATGCTGGCAAATGACTTCGTTCTTCTATTTGGAAAAACTGTTTTGCTCTGGGATAGATGCTCACCTGAGTTACTGAGCAGAATGCTGTGCAGGTGTGCTCAGCTGCCTGAAATTAGTTTAACAGTGCTTAAGTATGCTTTCCTGTGACTCTTACTTAATGGTACCTGCTGCCCAGGTTTAGATTCTGGTAGAGCTAATTTACTTCATGGTAGCTGATATGATGCAAGTGTTTGTTTCCTGTTTCCTGCTCTGTAGATTCCAGGAGGATCTGGAACTCCAGAACTGGTAGCAGTATGGGCCTGGTTCAAAGCTAGTCTTCGGGCTGAACAAAATGCTGTCCTAGAATTTTCTTGACTGTGGAAAGTAGCTGAGAAACTAGGAGTGGAAAGAATAGTAATAAGCTGGCCCTGATGAGTCCTGACAGCATGAGCTGTGCAGTCAGGTGTCCTTGTGGTGTATCCCTGGTTCTGTTAATACGATATAGAGATGGATGAGCTGATTGCATGGGGAACAATGTCTTTGTTAGCAGGATTTGCTAGCATGGACTGTGCTGATGAAAGCAGCTGTAGCTTTTGGACCCAAACTGTCTTTGAAATCTGTGTACTGACAGTATAAAATTCCTTTAACCTACAGAGATTAATGAATAATATTGACATTAGAAATGCTGAATTACTAAACAAAGCTATAACTTGCTTACATAAGGGAACTGTTTCCAAATCTTTCTTCCTGTGGTGAGTGTTATGTTTCGGAACATAGTTCTGGTGTATAGTAATCTGCAGTTATTTGCACTGTCAGCATTACATTGGGTGCACAATGCGATATTTTGTTGGGGGGAGGGAGAGATCTAATTTTGTGTTCACCAGACTGCTGAAAGGTAATATCTCATTAGAGCTTTTTAAACAAGTCTGACACAGGTAGTCTTCCCATGCAGTGGGTTGTCTGGGTCTAAACAAGAAGTGCTTTGTTGCTGTAGGTCTAATAGTGTGTGTTTTCTACTTAAAGTATAGCTTCTCCCAGCAGAAGTATGTCTCTTACTATAATTTATCCTTGCCATGTTGCCTTTTACTGCATAGCAGGGCCTAACTGAATCTGTACGATTCCTAACTAGCATAGCTAGGCTAACAGGAATTTAAGTGTGGTGGCTCAATGTGTTGTGTAAGCAGAAGGCCTTTGTTTCTCCCATATCTGCCTTCCCACACACACAGGAGATCTATATCAGTGAAATAGTTATGACATGGTGAAATGTTTGGTGGTT